ATTTGCTTCTTCCCCAGGTGAGGACTTTTTACCCCGACGATGTTATCCTCGGTGTGGTCTGAGTAGAATTATTTTTATTTAAGAATTTCCATACTCCCTGGTAGAAGCTATCTTCATCAAGAAATTCTATGAGAGAAATTTTCCATTCCCAGTGAAGCTCTCCTCTTTCTAACAGAGGATACAGATTTTGTTACCCAGAAGGTTGGGAGTCTGATCAGAATTCAAGATTTTCTCCGAGTTGCAACTTATTTTTGCAGTATCCTCTCCAGGAAGTTACTTCCATGTTGATATCGATCTTTAGAGGGTGGTGGTTCCGAATCTCGGTTCCCCATTGAAGTTCAGATTGCCTTTTCTCTATAGAAGATTAGATGTTCAAGAATAATCATTCAAAAGTTCATTGTCTTCCTAGAATCGGATTATTGATGTGATTTCCCCAGTGAATTACTAAACATGCATCATTACATTGCATCTACCAAAACCCGTAGCATTTCCATTGTACAGGGCATTACGCTATAATTTTTTTTTTCAAACATGCATAAGTATAAACCAATTATGTTCACCTATGGTAACCAAATTTTTATATGCTCATATTTGAATTAACTCCACAGCAAGCCTAGGGTGATACTATTATGTTTCCCCAGCATAGTCTGTTTGATTTACCACCAGTCGAGTCTTTAGTATCTTCTATTTCCCAGTAAGTTGTGGGTCTCTCTTTCCCATGCAAGCCTTTGGTTATTTTACCTGTGTTTTCCTTTACTGTCAGAGTGTGAGTAAGAGTCGGTGTATCGCCTTTCTTGCTTCTCAAGTGTTTGAGTATCCATACTTGGTGTGTGGTGATTCGGATAATTTCCACTCTTGAAGAATTACACCCCACCTTTGGCCTGAGGGATTTTGTAGTTCTTGCGTATTCACAAATCTTAAAGCCCAACATGTGTTGGTAATCCTTGTTTAGAGTCCCTACAGTTGGTCTCTTTTTTCTAATCACGAATTCACCTTCACCTGGTGTCCCTTCTTGTTGGTTAAGATTCGTCTTCGCCCGACGTTCTCTTTTCTTCGGTAAGTTCACCTTCGCCCGGTGTCTTTCCATTTTAGGTCCACCTTCACCCGGTGTCCCTTCTTGTTGGGTAAGGTTCGTCTTTGTCCGACGTTCTCTTTTCTTCGGTAAGCTCACCTTCGCCCGGTGTCTTTCCATTCTAGGTTCACCTTCACCCGGTGTCCCTTCTTGTTGGTTAAGGTTCATCTTCATCCAACGTTCTCTTTTCTTTGGTAAGTTCACCTTCTCCAGGTGTTTTTCCAATTTAGGTCTACCTTCAACCGATGTCCCTTCTTGTTGGTTAAGATTCGTCTTCACTCGACGTTCTCTTTTCTTCAGTAAGTTCACCTTCGCCCGGTGTCTTTCCAGTTTAGGTCCACCTTCACCCGATGTAGACATAAAACTATGTCTATCTCAAATCATCATCTATAGGACTTATTGATTCATCTATAGGTGATGATTTGAGATAGACATTAGGATTGTTTTCCATGCATGTCAACATAGGTTAGAGTCTCCCCTTCAAAGCTGAACTTTAGGGTCAATCATTTGTGTGATAACATTAGGGATAGATTTAGATTATCCCTTAGATGTTTTCTTTTCTTTTTCATCCTTTGCATAATAAAACAAAAACCTTTCTTTTATTTTTCTGTGCAAATCATAAAACACTTAAAACTTTCAAATCATTTCTCAAGGTAAAAAAGACAAACCAACACCTTTCTTTTTGCCAATCGAAATTTCTTTTCTAATAACATGTTAGTTCCTTTATGCTACAGGTCATGAGTCTCCAAAGGTCGAGCCGCGGTGTATTGATTCGAACATAACATTGTTCAATTAAAAAACACAAAACAAACTGAAACATGTGAGTCGAACTACGGCTGCTCTGATTCCTTAAAAGGGATACGTAGGTATTGGGGTAGGGCCCGAACGAACACAACTTTATTTTCCCTACATTCTTTTCTCTTTTCTTTTGCATGCATTCCCTCTTTTCATTTTCTTTTAGCCCTTAAGCCTAGATATAGATCCTAACACACCCATAAGATAGACAACAAGAGTGGATACCGTAGAATGCTACGGGCATGTGGGGTGCTAATACCTTCCCCTCGCGTAAAAGACTCTCTTACCCGATCTCTCGGTTGTTCGACCTTGATTTTACCCTTCTCTGGTTTTCTCAATGTTTACCTTTCCCTTCCTATTGGGATAAAAGACGTTCGATGACGACTTCATTGATATTTTATCAGATGACTATTCAGTCGGTTGTTTCACACTTAACCTGAATGTAATAAGAACACATCACTAAGTAGTCTCTCAAACCATGAATTTACCTGCACAAAAACACACACAAACTGGTTTTTCTGATGTTCCTTTAATTGGTATGCATGTAGACACAACAGTCAGGAGAACAAAAGTAGAATCTCACTCAACCTGAAATGTAATAAGAACACAATACTAATCAGTCTCCCAAACCATGAATTTTGGTGATGCAGTCAACCATATAAGTAATTTCTGCAAAAAAAAAAATTGTCCTCTACACAGAATAACAAAGTTATCTTCTCTAAATAAAATTGTTTTGTAAGATAAAAAGAATGAGAGAAAATAAAGCTACCGTGTACTTGTTATAACCCTTAGAATAAATTGAAACTGAGCCACTTATAGTCAAGATAAACATCCAAGGCTTCCATTTTTATTCTTGAAAATTGAAAGAAGCTTATATTAAATATCAATAGACTCTAACCTTTATGGTTTTCAAATATCATTGAATATAGAAATAAGTGAATGAAATACTTAAAAAAAGTACGAATAATTTCTTGATATATTGTCAGATTCAAAAGCATACAACTAATTACCTTTGGAAGTTGGGAATTAAAGAACTCAAACAAACCAAATTTAACATTGTAATTATGACTAACAATAATCCCTCATTCCCTGTATAAGGAACATAATTGTATCATCGATATAAAATGAGTGAAACAGAGCATTTAATATTACAAAACATATACTATGCACAACAAAATATATGAATAAAATACTTTGCAATATGCTTTTTCATCTCCAAATATGCACTAAATCAAACCAAAATAAGTTTCAACAAAATATATACTCCTTTAAAATTAATCTCATACCAAGTAGAAATGCTTCAAGCTTCCTATCTAGATATATATCAAATATGAAGGAACAACGTTAAAAACTCAACAAATCCATCCTAGTACCTAGAAAATCGTCTATCATAACTCAAAATCGTCAAACCCAATTTATGATCTAAAAACCCTAACCATAAATTATCCCCTTTTCATTCTCAACACCAATAAAATAAAAACCCTACCTTTTTCGATTATTCTATTTCTCACATAATCATACCTTTCTATTTTACCTATAAATCATTTGTTGTTGATGATGACGAAGGAAGTTTAAAATCCAGAGATTAAACCTGAAGAACTTGGAAAACAAAAAAGTGAAGTTAAAAACCAAATCGATCTTCTTTGATCACAAATTTAAAAAACATCAATGATGTTTTTCACATATCTAAAATGATCAACATTTGAAACATGAGTAATCTAAAATTTAAAGTAAAAATAAATAGGAAATCCTAACCGATTTGAAACATCACGTTTTGGTAAAGACATAGATGAATAGAAAGAGGAGGAGAGGTAGAGGAAGACAGGAGAAAGAAGAAGAGGAAGAGAGAGAATGTGGTTTAAGGTTTCAGTTTGTATTAAGTACAAGAAGAAAAAATGCTCAGATGGAAGTTGTTTAAGCAAACAAAGTGTTGGAGAATGAAGAAGCCATCCACGCGGCAGTGTGTATGAGCAGAAGGGAGAAATGGGAAATTCCATAGCATAGACTTTTCTTATATGATAGATATAAATTTTATAATAATAAAGAAGCTTAATATATTTTTTTACCGTATGTTAACCTCAGGGTTCAATTTGATCCCTTAACTTAAAAAAAGTTTATATTGATCCCTTAACTCTTCAAAACGTGTTATATTAGTCCTTTTCGTCTAATTAGGGAAAAACTCAAAAATCGACCGCTTAATCTGTTGTTAATGTGACAAAAGGACTAAAATGATACGTTTTAAAGAGTTAAGGGACAAATATGAACTTTTTTTAAGTTAAAGGACCAAAATAAACCTCGAGATTATTAACATACAAGACTAAAAAAGATATTAAACCTAATAAAAAATGAAAAACATATAAAATATATTATTAAAACTTATTTAAAAAAATAGCATACCAAATACATATAAAACGCTCTAAGATAAATAAAAAAATCAGCATGTTTTTAATAAACACATAAAGAAACAAAAATATTAAATAAAAATTATATTTAATAAGAGAGAATGGTTGATGCATTGATAAAGTAATATAATTTTACACTATTAATCAATCATAACCATGTATCCAATTAAGTCACTCTTTTATTTTAAATTTTTTTATTGATCGTCCTCACCATTCTCTTTCATCATCGTTACAAATCGGGAAATTATATTTTAAGACAATATAAGTCACTTAAAATAAATATCGGTACTTTTTAGTATAATTACCCGCTCCAATATATAACTGTCTAATGTATTTCCCGCTCCAATATCGGTACTTTTATATAATTTATATTACTTAAATTAAAAAATTACCCGCTCCAATATAATTTCTTAAATTAAAAAATTATTCACCATTGTCTTATATTACTTATATAATTACTTACCCGCTCCAATATAATTACTCACCATTGTCTTATATTACTCAAATTAAAAAATTACCCGCTCCAATATAATTTCCCGCTCCAACGAAAGAGAATGGTGAGGACGATGATGAAATTTTAATATAAATTTTCCGCTCCAATATAATTTCCCACTTACTTTGAAGGTACCTTTAATAATTAACGAGAAAAAGTCATATCCTTTTATATATATAGCTAGCCTGGCAGTTTTGAAGATAAGCTAAACTAAAGCTACAAGAGAGAAAAGACAATAATGGAAAAGAGCAAGGTTCTAGTCGTGGGGGGTACTGGCTATATTGGTAGGAAAATAGTAAAAGCAAGCTTAGAACAAGGTCATGAAACCTATGTTCTTCAACGTCCAGATATAGGACTTGATACTGAGAAAGTGCAAATGCTTCTATCATTCAAGAAACAAGGTGCTCATCTTGTTGAAGGTTCTTTTTCTGATCATCAGAGTCTGGTAGATGCTGTGAAACTAGTTGATGTTGTTATTTGCACTATATCTGGTGTTCACTTTCGATCGCATAATTTGATGATGCAACTCAAACTTGTTGAGGCTATCAAGGATGCTGGAAATGTTAAGGTATGTCTAAATGGAATTTTCACAAATAATTGTTAAATGGAAAAAAGATTTTTTTAAGGTAAAATAATATATATATATATATATATATATATATATATATATATATATATATATATATATATATATATATATATATATATATATATATATATATATATTCAAAACAAAATCTCGGCTAAATTTGACCTTAAGTCCCTATGGAAAAAATATACTGTGGATGTTTATTGGAACATTCTAATATGAAACTCTAAATTAATAGTTTTTGTTTTTTTGTTTCATATGAATAATGGTTTAAAAGTGAAGATTTGGACTATTTTTCAATAAAATAATAAATTTTATAAAATATATAAAAAATAGTGTAATATTTTTATTGAAATTTACTAAAATAATAAGATGAATCTAATAATTGATATGCACTAGTTTAATTAGAGGAGTGTAAATGTTGATTCATATTACAAATTTGCAATAATATATATATTTTTATTTTTTATAATAATATAAATATAAACAATGAATAACTAATATATTTAGATAATATATAGACTAAATACAATATCTATTTAATGAATTCAAAAAATAAGATTTTTTTTTATAAATAGGATCAGAGGGAATAAAATTTATAAATAAACAATTTTTTTATAATAATATTAAGATTATTATTTTTAGAAATATTTTTCTTCTACAAATTTGGAGGCCCATTTAAATCTACCTCTTATCATCATATACAAAATCATAGATGTATTTTCTTCCTTCCACCAGCGTTTCATACCTTCAGAATTTGGGATGGACCCAGCTCGCATGGGACATGCACTTGAACCAGGAAGAGCCACATTTGATGAGAAAATGACTATAAGACAAGCAATTGAAGATGCCAACATCCCCCACACTTACATCTCCGCCAACTGCTTCGCTGCCTACATGGCCGGCAACCTCTCTCAGATGGGGACACTCTTTCCTCCGCGGAACAAGGTGGTTCTCTATGGCAACGGTAATGTCAAAGGTATGCAAGACATTAGAAAATAAGACTTTTTAATTAACATTTTCTTTCCGAATGTGATCTAGCACACAATTAATCTTGAAATTTACACTAAAATATATGTCTGTGGCAGTTGTTTATGTTGATGAAGAAGATGTTGGAACATACACAATTAAGACAATTGATGATCCTAGAACACTGAACAAGACAATATATCTAAGGCCACCAGAAAACATACTCACTCAAAGAGAGCTAATTCAGGAATGGGAGAAACTTATTGGAAAGCAACTAGAGATATCTCCTATATCTCAACATGACTTTCTTTCTTCAATGAAAGGTAAAACACACCCTTTACCCTTTTTTTTTTTTTGGATAGATGTTGACAAAATAAAAATAAAAAGTAACTTTTTGATTATCTCATTCAACAAATAATTTTTGACTCTTGTGAAATTTAGGTGTGGACTTTGCAAGCCAAGCAGGAATGGGACATTTCTATCATATTTTTTATGAAGGGTGTTTGACAAATTTTGAAGTAGGGGACGAAGAAGAAGCATCAAAGCTTTACCCAGAAGTGCAATACACACACATGGATGAATTTCTAAAATTATATGTGTGATATGAGATTATATAATTATGAAAAGTTCTACTTTTTATTATTCAAATAAAATAAAGCTTGGTGATGTTATATACAATATTGAAGTACTTGAGAAGAAATATATATGATCATTTATATATCTCACTCTAAAAGTTGGGTAAGGTTGTCTTCAATGTATAATATTTGGAAAATAATAAATAATTAAATATTTTAAAATTAAATAGTATTATATGATTAATCGAAGATACACTATATGATTAATCGAAGATACACTATCTAACTTTTTATAATGAACTGTAAAACTGCTACGCAAGATCTCAGTATTTTTCCATTTATCAACCTCAGCTGAATATGTTACATGAATCCTTATATATGGATTTTCTCTAAATTAGTTACAAAGCTAATAGAATTTCAACTAGTATAATAAACTCTCAACTATCTATAGCCCTAAGACTAGAAACGAATATACCACATGGTTAAAGAGACGTTTGACCAAAGGTCAAACACTAATACATTCATCTCTAATATCCCCCGCCCCCACCCCCCCACAAGAATAGTGTGGTGGAAACAACACCACTGAGCTTGTTCCTCAAGTCTTGGAATGTTGTATTTGAAAGAGGCTTAGTCATGATATATGTCAATTGAGTTGACGCAGGAACATGTTGAATCTTGAGCTTGTTTGCCATAACTCCTTCTCTAACAAAATGTATATCGAGTTCAAGATGTTTTGTTATAGTATTCAGTATAAGATTATGAGACAATAAAACAACACTTAAATTGTCACAAAGGAGAGTTAGTGAGAAACATTTAACTTTTAACTCGGGTAGTAAGAATTCTAACCAAAGCAACTTAGAAGTTGTATATGTAAGGCCCTATATTCGGCTTCTACAATTTATCTAGCAACTAAAATTTGTTTCTTTGAACTCCAAGAAATCAAGTTTGGTCAATAAAAATACACGTACTAGATGTAGATCTTTGATCATCTGGTTCATTTGCTCAGTCATAATCACTATATGCTCTCAATGATAAGAATCTAAGAGAAAAAAGTCTTGTTTCTAGGTGATGACACAAAGTGAAAAAAAGATTGATGAGGTTGTTAAAATAACTAAATTTGTATGAAAAGTGGTGAGTAATGGGATGATGAGTGTTGTAAAGGAGGAAATAACAATTTCAGAAGAAGTGCTCGGGATCCTAGAGAATTTCAAGGAATTGGCCGTATATGGACTATCAAACAATTTCCCTCCTATACAAGGTAAACGTCAGAAAATTAAATCTTTTAATATGGGAGATGATGAGATGGTGTTTCTACATAAGGATAGATTCTCAGTTAGTACTTACAACAAGTTGGAGCCACACAAGTATGGTCCGTTCACAATTTCCAGAAAGCTCAATGATAATGCTTATGTGGTAGCTCTTTCCGATTTTTCATGAATATATCCAATACTTTCAATGTTAATGACATTCATGAATATCAAGCAGATGAGGTTCTTTACCAATAAGAGAACTCGGGGTCGAGTTCTTCAGAGGTGGAAGAGATTGATGTCGAAATACTTTTTAAGGCATCTGAATTTGTTTCAGACCCAAAAACAACATTTTAGTATTTTCCGCAATTTTCTAATTTATTTCTGTTTTGGATTAAAAGTCCATTAAAGTTTATTTTCTTATATTTTATTTCTATTTTGGATTTAAAGCCCATTAGAGTCTCTTTGCTTATGTATTTAAACACTTTTGGCGTGAGTCAAAGATCGTCTTTTCAGTTAATAAAATTTTGTATTTTCTTTATCTAGTGGATTCCAAAACTTATCTGACAAGTTTTGCGCTTGCAACCCTGTGTTTCTATTCTAAGTTTAGCACTTACTAATCTGTATTGTTTTCAAATGCATCAATCATTAACCGACTGTAATTTAATTTTTAGTAAGAAACAAAGATCAACGATATCTAACTTTATCATTTGTTGGAATCTCTTTTGTTTAATTAGAATATCGCATCGTCTGATGTTAAATGATAGAATATTTAGGACGAACAAGTAGATTATCCTCCCCTTAATCTTCTTCGAGTGTGGTCATTGTGCTACATGAATTATAAAATATTAAATAATGTTTGATATTTTTTTAATTATATTTAAAATAATAACTATAAATTATGATATACAATTAACCTATATATATATATATATATATATATATATATATATATATATATATATATATATATATATATATATATATATATATATATATATATATATATATATATATATATATATATATATATATATATATATATATATATATATATATATATATATATATATATATATATATATATATTAAATCAGAGTTGCAAATTTTTATCCATATCATTTAAATTATGCCACATCAAATAAATTATGTCACGTCAAACACATTCTCATGTGGCACTTCTAAAAATTCATCTTCAATTTTCAAAAAAAATTATTATTTATTAGAGATCATGGATTTAACACTCAATAACTAAAAAAACTTATTAATTTAACAACTAATTACTAATAACTTTAATTACTTATAATTTTAATGTAATATAATTTTATAAACTTTAAAAAATAATATAGATATTTTTTTCAATCTTTTCATCTATTTTATTATTATTAATATATTTTTGAAAGATAAAATTAATTATATCTGTTTACTCAATATAGTTAAATTATTTAAGTCAATATAATATAAGTTTTGTTTATAAAAAACAATACAATTAACTACTTACAAAAACTTAATTAATTGATGAACATATAAAGTAAAACAAAAAACAAAATATTAACCTTAAAAGATTTACATTAAATTTTACATTCGAACACTCTATATAATCAATCATTGTAACACGCCGTTTTTATCTAAATGTTATTTCATTAATTATTTTCCAAAATTATTAAATTATATCTATTTTGAGAAATATATTCAATTGATATCGATTAAAATATTAATTGGGTAATATGAAATAAAAATATTTATTGTGTCGGAATATTATTTTGAATAATATTAATTTGGTGTGTAGTAATATTTGACTTTGTTTGATTAATTGGCATGATTAGGTTTATATAGAATGAATATTATTTAGTGTAATATTGTTTAATAGGGTTATATATTATAATTTGAGTTAAATAATTGTTGGGGCCAAATTATAATTTTTGAAAGATAGAGGGAGGAAAGTTAGTAGTAGAAGGAGGGTTTTATAAAATAGAAAGGAGAGTTAGTAAGAGTAGTGGAAAGAAGAGAAAGAAGAAGAAGAAAAGAAAAGAGGAGAAGAGAAGAAAGGAAGCTAGGGTGAAGTTGCAACATCTTCATCTTCTTGTTTCAAGAAAACCCACACCAAGGTAGGGGGTTTGATTCTCCATCTCATATTGTTAGGTTTTGATAAATATATTTTGGATTTGGGGGTAAAATGGATAGTTGATTTTATAGGGTTTTGTTGGTTGATTGTTAGAATGGTTTAGAAAAGTTGGATTAGGAGTATGGTTTGTGGGTGTATTAGGTGCTAGCTTGTAGAAATTAAGAGTATTGAAATGGGAAAGAAAACCATGGTAGTTGAATGAGAAAAACCCAAAAGAGTGGAGTTTTCACGCAGGCCTCTCAACACGGGCCGTGTTGCATCACACGGATGCCCGTGTTGATGCTCTGACTTGGCATTTCTTTAGGCACGTTCATGGTGGCCTCTCAACACGGGCCGTGTTGCAGCACACGGGTGCCCGTGTTGATGCGTCTGTAGACTCCAAATTTCTGATTTTCGCACTTTCTTTGGAACGCGATTGTGTTCCGATTTTCCGATTTGGAATTATTTGATAGTTGATGGTTTATGTTTTGGTTGAGTAAGTAACTTGTTTGTATACATTCTACTTGACGTTGAGATTGTTAAATCATATGTATGCATGCATGTACAATAGTTGATGTTCCATTGGTTGGATTTGATGGCATGTGTATGTTAAGATTATTGTGAGTCTTAATTGCATGCATTGGTTATATTGTACATTGCATGGCATGGTTGGTCTTGAAATAGAGACGGTGAAACTGTGGGTTCACACAATATTTAGATGGTGACCCTATTGTGGGAAAAGACGTAGTGACCTTGATCCGGAAGGGAAACACAAGTGGTGGAACTTTGGGTCCACAATATCTAGACGGTGACCCTATTGTGGGAAAAGACGTAGTGACCTTGATCCGGAAGGGAAACATAGGTGGTGGAACTTTGGGTCCACGAGTCGGTACCGCATTTGCATACGTTGAGTCGTGTAGTGAGTCTCATGTATATTTGTGCATGTTATGCATGAGTGCGGATGTGTTTTTGATTATGTACCAATATTGTTGTTGTTTGAATTATGGTTATGTGCCAAGGATGTGAGTATTTCGGATAATCGGTTTACATGGCTAATGTGTTGGAAATGGGTTCCTTGAGTAAGGATACTACGAGTGATAAAATGAACATGATCATTATGTATTGCTTTATTTATTGCTATTTTATTTACTTAAAATTACATGTTATATGATTATTGGAATTCTTACCCTTTTGTTGGCCAATGCCTTTGATGGCATTGTGCAGGTACCGAGGACGGTAGCGCGAGGCGCTAGCTAACGGATGCATTGGATTGCAATCTGTTTTATTTTGATTAGAGTCGAGTCGATGCTCTGGTAGTAACACATGGGGGGGGGGAATTATTTAGTGTCGAACTCGATTATTTTGTATTTGGATTATGATGTATATAATCCTTATTCTTGTATATGATTGTTTTGTATATGAGAGACTTGATAACATATGCTCATGTGAATTATGATGGCTTGATGCCTTGGATTATGTTTTGATTCCTCCATAATGGAGATGATGTGAAATTGTGAAACTCCGTTGCGTTTGCACGAGAGAATGAAGTAAATATTTATTGTATGTTTGTTTTGTGTTGGAATACTTATACCTTCAAACATACCCCGTCCGTTTTCTTTAAAAATAATTTGGAATGTGTTTTGTGTTGTGGCATCCCTTCCGTGCAATTTTATTTC